TGCAGGTTCACTAAACCTGGAAATAAAGACTGGATTGATTTTAATTTTGGTTTAAGATCAAAGAACATTTAGCAGTTTAATAAAACTCTGATTGATTCGTATTCGTTAAAGGATAAAATCTGCATCACTAAGGTGAATAAATATTGACTCGCTGCGTAAAATGACCACTTCCTGATTAAAATGACATCACAGCGTCCCTCAGAGTTTAGCGTCGTCTGCTCAGTGGATTATTTTATGCTGAACATGTTTTCCCTCGTGATGCGTTTCCTTTTTTAAACGCCATCAGAGCGAACCTCCAGGTTTGGTTTTGACCTTCAGAGTCGGAGCAGACGCTGCATCCAGGTCAGCAGTCCAGATGTTTTTCTCCGAGTCTTTGCTGCAGAGTCGGTTTTCTTCTTCTCCTCCTTCCTTCTCTGTCGCTCCGCCTCTCGGACCCCCAGCAGGTCGGCGCGGCGCCGCTCGGCGCCCCTCTGGGCGCGCTCCGTCTCCCTGGCCATGCTGAAGTGGACCATCTGCATGCCGAGCATGGGGACGATCAGGTTATAGTTGTCCACCATCTTGTTGAGCTTCTTTAGCTCCTCCTCCATCGACGCGCACAGCCCCTCCCACTGCTCCTGCTCTGCCAGGGTCATGGGGTCGGCGAGCCGGGCCCGTCCGTCCAGCAGCCGGCCGCGGAGCCGCGCGGCGCCCTCCCTGATGTCGCGCTGCGTCACCACCCATGGCGGCTGGTAGCCGTTGTCGATCAGGATGCGGTTGAGGTTGTGGGTCATGGGGTCGGCGTACGGGTTGTGCTGGAACTTGTTGAGCGGTTTCCCAGCTCCGCCAAGGTTCCGGAAGTCGCCGCGCGCCATCGACTCCTGGATCAGGTCCTCCACCAGCCGCTCCACCGCCTGCGTGATCTTGATCTTGCGGCTGCGCTGCCGGGTGTCCCGCTCCACCAACGCGCCCTCCGCCGCCGCCGCCCTCTCGTGCTCCCTCTGACGGTAGCTGAGGACCTGCTCGGCCGCCCTGTCCACACGGATCTGCCGGTACTGGCGCTCCCGCTGGCTGGGGGTCCCTGAGCCCACGCCCTCGTAGCTCAGGTAGTGTCTGTGCTGCGGGGCGGCTCGCCGCGCCGCTTCCTCCTCCTCCTCCTCCTGCGTTGCTCCTTCCTGCGGCCTGGTCTTACTCTGATGGGTCAGAACGGTCCGGTACGCCTCCTCGATCCGAGCAAACAGCGCGGCGTCGGCAGTGGCTTCCCCAGAGTCCGGGTGGTAGAGCTTGGCGAGGCGCAGGTAGGCGTCCCTCACCTGGGCGGGGCTGCTGTGGCCCTCGGCAGGCAGCTGCAGCAGCCGGTAGCTCTCCTGGAGGCTCCGGCTGATCCGGTTCCCCGAGCTCAGCCGCCTGAACGCCACGGAGCGCCGGAACGGGCGGAGCAGCCAGCGGCCATGATGGAAACCACTGCAGCCCCGCAGCAGGTGGAGACAGACGCTCATCACTCAGGTGGCGCTCACCTGAAACAGAAAACTCTTCGTCAGGAAGGGAGGAAGAGGAGGAAGAGGAGGAGCAGTCCAGCTTACCGCACCGTGATGTCACCATGGAAGGAGGGAGGGGTTACTATATTTGAACAAAAATGGCCGCCCCCAGACTCAGCGATCGCCATGAAAATAGTTTTTATTTTTCACTGATTGAAGCTAAATTCATTAAATCACCGCGAAGGTTTTAGTCTTAGGTCTAAATATTGATCCATGGATTATTCGTTGCTGATCGGAGTTTTCCTAAACGCCTCGGCTCTACTTTCTGTATTTCTACCTTTGTTAATATTAGTTTCTCTGTTTTCCATTTTTAGTGAAAAGTTTCTCCATCCGGTCCCTGATTGGTCGGCGTGCGGCGCCGCTGTCTGACACCTCAGCTCCACCTGCTAGCAGCAGGTGGGGGAGGGGCAGGGAACGCTCAGCTCTACCTGCTAGCAGCAGGTGGGGGAGGGGCAGGGAATGCTCTGACCGATTCATGTCAATCCTTGTTTTTTTCGCGAACACGAGAAAACGCGTCTCCTTTGAACGCATCATTTAACCATCCAGGCTGCAGCTAATTATTATTTACAGTCAATTAATCTGTTGATTAGTTTTTAGATTAATGTGTTAATAATTTAATTGCTTCAATAATCGATTAATCAGAATAAATTAATTCAGCGCTTAAAGCATCCATCAGCAAAGAGTCGATTAGAGATTTGATCAAATCAGCTGATCTGGAAAATCAGAAACTTTCAGCTTTAATTTCAGTCGGACTCTTTTTTTTTTCCTCTTCAGTTTCGCTCTAAATTGTTCAGAACTTAAGTTTTAAAACTATTTGATCTTTATAACATTAGTTTTAGTTTTTAATCCGTCACAGTGATGCATGGATCCCATAGATCAACGATCCAGGAATCATTTCTAACCACTGATCCACTGAATCGTTTCTGTCAACATGATGCATCCAATAAAAAAATATCTCATCTTTTACAGTTTATCAGCAAAATGATCCAGAATTTTGGAGCCTAAAGGGAAGAAGAACTGTTGGAGCTATTTATTCTTTATTTATTTATCCATTTGAATTGTGTTAATTCCTAAACTTATATATTTTTTTTATTATTTACAGACTTAATTTATAGGTTAATTGTTGGATTTTGTGTATTTATTTTTTGCTGTTTTATCATTTTTTTTTTCTTTATTTTATGTAAAACAGTATGAAATGTTGGCGGTCCACTTTCTATAAATGTAGGAGCCTGGTAAGGACCAGCAGGCATTCAGGTTAGGCGCCTATATGGGTTTTTACCAGAGCAGGAGAGGAGACAGAGCGAGGAAAGTTTGAACTCTGTAATGTTGCAAAATATAGGAAATAAATCAACTGAACATCTACAAGTTTGGACTTCAACTTCTTTTGCCTGCGTCAAGAAAACGTGA